TTTTTTTTTTTTTTTTTTTTTTTTTTTTTTTTTTTTTTTAAATAGTTGTAATTCAAAAAAAAGCCTATATCTATACTTTGTTGGCTTCATTTTCTCTAAATTGTAGGTCTCTATATGAGTTAGTTTAACGAAATTCGAGTAGGCGTGGAAACAATTTTTTGCACTTTCACCCTTCACCCTTCCTAGAGTGCAAAGTTTCGTAGTGATATCATAATTTTTATTCTAGTTGTCGCTTCAACAAACATACATACAGGATTGGACCCACAGCTCACCACATCTGGCTCCTGACAAGGTGCTCAAACAAGAATTAAAATATTGTTTTGGGCTCAATTAAATAAAAACACTGAAATATAAAATAGATTTTCATAACGAAAAACAAACTGACACACCTTTCATACCATTTATATGATATATGGCCAAGTTAACAGTACCATTAGACCTATAAGTGAAGTCACCACATTTGAGGTACATACTAAAGGTGAAGTTATTTGTAAATGCTTACTCCAAATGGCATCACTTTGTTGGTTACGAGCGAGAAATACTTTTCCTTATAGAAATATACCGATAAATCAAGTGTGTATTTTTGTCGAAATGCAAACCATAATTTGACCAAATTTTATTGAAACAATCGATCTAAATTTTCTTTTTATTCATTATATGTAGGAATATATCATCATTTTTATTTTGCTGTAATATAATTTTATCGCATAGTTAGATTTTTAATTTAGCCATACATAACAGAGAATTCACACCTGAACTAAGTGACATTAACCTACTTTGCTCAACTTGTAATTACTTATAGTGAGTTCTTTCACTCTTAAACATAAAACTAGTAAACCATTCAATTTATGTTATTACTTTTCGTAGTCTAGTCTACAACACATATGTGTGCGTTGCATCGATCAATCATCAATTACTATATTTTTTTAGTGACTTTGCACAACTAAGCAATTTTGTGTTCAATTAATTGCGCCCACATGCGATCTCTATAAAAGCTTCAAACTTTGGTTTTCGTTTCTAATATTTCTTAGGAGTAGTAATTCACTTTGTGATAGTTCAGGAAAATAGCCGGTATTTACTGTACACATGAAGTGTATCTAACGCAACATAAGTTGTAAATTTATTCTTGTGATATACAAATATTTGCAACTTAATATGGCAAACGACCTTGAGTGAATATTTTCTTAAAATTTTAAATATTTTTGATAAGATTTACTATATGCGATACATTTATATTATGCTGACTACTGAATGTCAGAGTTGGATATTCCCTAAAGAAACTAGCTTTTTTAATCTAAAAGTGTAAGAAATTCGAATGTTTGTGAAGTTGTAAGAAAAAAATTCCATTGTGCACATACTTACATGATTCACAGAATTTGAAATAATTTATAAACTTTCCTCAAAATAGTTTCAGTGGGGGTAAAAATTCTTAGTGATTGTAAATAATGACAATAAACTTATACCGAAATTGTCATTTAAACATTAACAACTAAATACTGTGAAAAAAATATATTTGAGATGTCTTTTACATTTTGGTTTTATCCCTGTTTTTGACCAAATTTAAGACAGCAATTTCTAATTATTATCAATTAATTCAATTGCCTAACAGAAACAGGAGAATCGTTAACTTCCCCTGCACCGAAAATGTAATATCTTCTTCTACCTCCTGACGGTTTATAACGGGGTTTTCCATTAGAGCGCTACAAAAGTTTTTTAAATAAAAACAAAAAAGGTTTGGAATATCAATGAAATTGTTTATTCGTGTTAAAGTTCATTCGATGCCATTATGTATAAAACTCGACGCTTTTACATGAAACCCACGGGCACACTTGCAGAAGTCCAGACGCTGAACCCTATTTTCTACGGTTTTCAAACATAAATCGGCCAATATTTTCGCAATTTTACGTTCAATATTCGTATGAATTTGATTAATCGTCACTGGTTTGGTGGCTTAGACCATAGACTTGACGAAGAACCACAGGAAATAGTCCAGGGGCGTCAAATCGCACGACCGAGGCGCAGAATACGTGGTGTGTTCCAAAGTAAACCGGACCTAAAAAAAAACAGAAGAAATATTTTTTTCTGCAAAATCAGTTTATTTTATTCAAAACTAGCTGACCCCTCAACTTATTATGTGTTTTGAAATGAAAAGAAAGTTGAATTTATATTGTGTTGAAAATCATTTATTTGCGATTTCCCTACATATTTTTTTAATGTAATGCAGCTCGTTGACAACATTTTTGGTTTCTGTTCCGGTGCGTAAATGTACAGAGAAGATGAAAAACATAGCATTTCCAAATTTTTGCCACACATTATGCGACTATCCTTGTATCCTGTTGGTTGTCATCTCAAATGCGGTAGAACCCAATGAAATTCGGGCCCCTTGTATATGGTAGCGGTGGCACAATCAGTCGGGTTCCATTACACAGTTTCGGAGCATAAAGATTGCGAAACATAATAACGATAAATCGAACTTCGAGACGCAAATGATGCGGCGTCATGCCAAGCCTCTCCAAAGAATATCCTGGATAATTCACGGTTTCGTCTTCATTGTCAAGAGGATCGTTCGGTTTGTAGGAGCGCGAACCTCCCGGTACTTGACTTTGAATCTTCCAGTTTAAGTCATTAACAGCGGTATTATTGGCAGCTAAAATTGCGCTTGCACTCACGAACTCAATTTGTCCAATGTTCGAATAAACATTCGTGATGAGTTCACCTTTCGTTGAAGTGAATTGATAAAAGGCAAGTGGAATTGATATCAAACCACTGGAAGTATTAACTGGAATTTGCCTATTTCCAATTCTTATCGAATGCGATTTAAAGTGTCCTCGACAATGTCATTTTTTTCGTATCCCATAATTAACACCGATTTGAAGGTTGATGTGTCAAAATGATCATCGCGCAAAGTGTGCGAACTTCATTTGCATTCGAAGTAGCTATCGCATCGTCCGTCGTTTGATTCCAGTAATTGTAATTGGCGGTTTTCTTCTCAACAAGTTGCACACACCGTACCATTCACAATACGCAATGACTCAAATGAAGTTGAAGCGCGTACATTAATCAATAGCAACCGAAGGAAGAAAAAATCGTAAATTCGTTCGAAGGCGTTAGCTCAGAACACACCTTAATGTCAATCTACTGGTTAACCGTGCTTTCTGCGTAACTATTTCTAACACGATCTATTCCGTAATATCAAAGCATTTCCGAATAGAGCAATGCTCTCGCAAACGGACCACTGACCAAAGTTGAGAATTATTCTCTGGGTTGAAATATCCGTACACTCTTTGATCATTCTCCAAAATAACTGCGAAGAGCACAACAGTCGGAAAACGTGCATGAATTGCAAAAATAAATACCTTATAAAACGCTTCATTGCAGTACACGCATTGACCCATTTGATACTTTCTGATCTCATTTCGTTCAAGGCCAATAACCCTTGTCTACGGATTGGACAGCGATATTATCCATACCTCGTTTACCTGCTTGTTTATCAAGGCAGTGACTGACTCTATAGGGACTCAGCTATATTTATTATTATGTATTACGCTTTTCTATTAAATATTTAAAGTAGCAAGGAAGAATAAAAGCTGTCTCTTTTCTGTTGTCCAATATTTTGGTCGTCCCTGCTCAGTACAGTTAACCTGTTTTACAGTTAGCACTATCTTTGGCAAGACTCCAAGAGACTTTAGTGATTTCAAAGCCACTTGACTATCTATGTAATTGCATAAAAATATATTATACCCCGTTTCAGAAAACTAAGGTTTTCTTTAATTGTTATGATCTCCACTTGAAATACCCGGCAGTGGTTTGTTAGATGGAAGGCGACTTTGGTATCTAATTTTCCTACTTCTGACAATATTTTATTCATTGTCAAAATCCAGAGGAGTGGAGAAACGACGCCTCATTAAGGTGTACCTCTTTTGAAAGATCTTCAGGGAGGAAAGAATATGAGCAAAATTGCAGAGCGATATCTCAAAAATTAAATGATATGCTTTATAGGTTCTCCGACGTTTCCTTATCGTTATATATTTGTCGGCTAGTACCTTTCTCGGTCAACTACATTCGCTTGTATTTCTGATATTTTCATTCATAACATCCCATTTTTGTAGTCCGCTCCGTTCCATTTCATCTTGTATGTCCTGTATAAAATTTGGTTATCCGCACAAAAATAATATATTCAAACATAGTGGCATGTTTTGATAGAAATTTGCAGCATGCGTATTTATACCAACCGATGTAATCGATTGGCAATTGTTGACTGGGATTTTCTCAAATAAGTACGAAGTACACTCTGCATCTAAATATAATTTATTAGTAAATAGTATCAGGGAATACATATAGTATAACATTTTATATGTCACCTAGTTACAATAATATATATTCATAGCCTTGACAATTTCGCACTAAGTCACAATTTCAAATTTAGTATATTTGTACTTATTTCAACAACATAAAGGCGCACACTTTTTCCTTCAGTGCGAAAGACAGAAAAAATAAATTGTCGAAACAAAAAATATTGTTGACTTTTCAAAATTGAAGCCGATTAAAAATTTTATTTGTGAAAAAGAGAAAAGCTTTGCATTACACAAACAAACGTACAAAAGCAACTGCTAATACAAATAATTCAAGTGAGCCGAGAAAAAGAAGCGACAAAGGTAAGAGAAACGAACAATAAAACTAGAAAGAAGCAACCAAAAGGCGCATTGTGACAAAATGAATGATAATAACCAAATCTGCAGTAAAATTATGTGTTAGCAATAGCAACAATAACAACACACTAATATTAATAAAAAAGAATATTGACAACATAGAATACCACATAAAATTGAGGTTGTGGGTAAACGAATCTAACGTAAGCTTCTCTATCGCATTATTTCCAGATGAGTGGCCGTGACGACTTCTTCTCCAAAGAGTCTTCACTCATCAACCGCTCCAAACGGGAGCTGGCGGACGGACGTGAAAAGGATCCAATCTACAAATTGCGCTTGCAATGCTTCAGTCGTGGCGCAACCGGCATACTCGGATTAGCCAGGTAATTGGGGGGGACTTGGCGATGGAAAGAAGTATTGTAAGCAACAATATGTGTGCGCTTTTCGTGTTTTTTTTTTTGGTTTTGTGGAGGAGCATTATAAACGATGGACACTGAAGATGTGCTCATGGGTGTAGATGTGTAACTGCGCATTTTCACACAGATCTGCAACTAGAAGCCTCAAAGCAGATCATTGAAAGCGTAGCGAAAATGAAAAAATAAAGCATATCAAATGCAGTTTTACTGAAATTCCTTTGGTGGTGTGGTGGACGCAAGCTGCCCGCTATGCGGATGATGGCTGCTGATGAAACTGCAATTCAATGCAAATACAATGCAATAAAATGAAATATTCAACGTTTCGTTGAACGATACCAGGAGATTTTAATCCGACAGATGACACAGCCGCCCAGCAGCCATACAAGCGAACGGTGAGGGTCCACAACTGCCAACTGTCTGCCGTCTGGTCGATACCCTCGCCTTTACCCAACCACTTAACCGTTCCTACTGCACAACTGTCCAACTGTCGGACTGTTCAACCAGCTGTCCAATCATTCATCAGTCGTCATCATGCCATATAAACTATGCAAGAGTACTGCTATTCCTGCAACATGTAACTTAATGCATGTTGCTATGCCACAGAGTACTGCTGACTAGCTGACAGCTGGTTAGTCGTTTTTGTTTTTTGTTCTATGTTGCTGTTGCCATGGTTGTATTGGGCAAAGCATTTGGTTGGTTTTACTTTGAAAAAACTTTTTTTTTTTTATTTATTTTTTTGTCAAAAACCACCTATCGGTAGGTTCTACATGGGGTTTTGGCATTGCAGAGCATTAAAATAATGAAATTATGTAGAAAATGTACAAAAAATGCAGGGAAGTGGTATGTAGATGGTGGCTCTTAAAGGGAATAATCCTAATGAATGCTGTTCGTGAGTGTAGACTGGATGCGTTTCTTTTTTGGCCGATGGCACAGGAAAAGCTTGCAGGAATCCATGTAAAGCAAATGCAATTAGTGAGCAAATAGAATAGTACATATGCCTATAGGTATGTCTCTATCTTTAAATGGTTGATACGCTGAGGTTAAAGTTAGTTTCTTAGCAATATTTTTTTTTTTTGCGTTTGTCCGCAAACAAATGAAACTGAGTCGATTTAAAAAAAAATTTATTCAACCAATCGTTGCAATTCTCTAAAAACTTTCAAAATAGGCTCTTTCTGCCAGCGCGATTTCCAAGCATTGAAGGCGTCACAGAAGGCATTCTCCGGAATAGCCTTGAGGTGCATGCCGCTTGGATCCTTCGCTTTTTCAGGAATGAAACAAAAAAATTCCGTGGCGGCTACACCTGGGCGGCTGCGGACTCGTTAGGATACCAGCCTTGGTTATATTGCTGTTCACAAGAAAGGTGGTGTGAGCCAGGGCGTTGTCGTGGTGCAACTTTCAATCGGTTGCGATGTCTTGTCGGATCCGATTAATCTTCGTTTGAGTATCTTGAAGACTTCCACGAATAATTTGGCATTGACGGTTTGTCCGGGAGGAACAAATTCATGGTGGACGATGGCTTTGATGTTAACAAAGGCAATGGGCATCGTTTTCACTTTGGGTTTGCTCATTCATCAGCGACCTCTTCCAACCCATCCAAAAAGACCTGTTGCCACTGAAACGCACCGCATCTTGCTAAAGCAACATCTGGGTAAGCCTGCTTGATCATATCAAACGCAGATTTACCGAGTTTCACATAGAATTTAATCATAAAACTATACAGTCAAGTCGCTGCGAAAGAAAAACAGTCCCATTACTTTCCGGACAATCCCTGTATTCTCTTTATTTTAAAAAAAAACTTCTTTCGATATGAATCCACATTTGTTTTTACAAGCACTTCGCCATTGGATAAATGTGTCCAAACAACGACTTTAAGTAATAATTGGAGACAAAACACAGGAGATTGGTGCAACCATTATTTCTAAAATGATTTACGTTATGATGAGTTGAGCCACAGTAACGAAACGGCAGATAAGTATGTTCGTCTTCTGATTAATGATGATTGTAAGTAATTATCTGTAAAACATATCTTCGTAAATGAATCAAGATACATAGTTTCATGGAAAATTCTCGCGATCCAATTAAGGGATCATCTCAGTGTGAAATTTTTGAAAAGAAAAAAAAAAAAATTTTGTTGTATTATCGGATACTGCACATTGTAGTATATATTCTCTCAAATTTTGAAATCTATATTGAAATTATTTCGGTCCTTACAGTGTTTCTTGTAGAAACAGAACAACTAGTAACAAAATAGTGTTTTTCAAAATGGTTTCCAAGCTCAAAAGAAAGGTTGGGAAGACAGCTAGTTCCAATTTGGGGAGATCATTTTTAACGTCATTCTCTATTGCGCTTGATTGTTTTTTCGAAATCTTCCTACTTTTTCTACGGAAAACTTCCGAAAAAAGTGCCAAATTCTATACTTTTTGTTCAAACCGTCGCCACTTTTTCAAATAAAAGAAAAGGGCACGATAGTGACTTTCCTACAGTTTAATAATCTTTTTGAAGATTTGGTTTCAGATCAATTTATTTAACCAGTGATTTTCCTGAGACGATCCCTAAAGCCGACGACATATACTTATGTACATATAAAAATTTATTTATTGAATGCTTTGAGTACAACAACAAACAACGCATTCAATAATATTAAGAATATATCGATCTAATGATTAATGTTTTGGTAATTTTTCAGAACCTTCCGAAATATGGATGACGATGGCAGCAAGGCGCTGAATTTCGAAGAGTTCAGTAAGGGAATCAAAGAAACTGGTTTAGAATGTACGGATAGTGAAATAAGGGATATGTTTGACAAGTGAGTAAAGCAATTTTAGCAAATGTGAAGTGGCTCGTGAACGAATATTTTAGCATAAAAATGCTGTAGAGGCTCATTGTTTGCACTGCAAATCGAAAAGCAAAGAATTAATTTCAGGCTATACCACATCAATATGCACAAAATACTAATACACTTACCATATATGTATGTGCATATAGACAGCTATGAGGAGAAGAACGTTATGCAAAAAAATATCCCTAAAAATGTTTTTTTGTTTTTTATACAAAATCAAGAAATAACAAAACCAAATAAGCTATTTTACTGACAACTTTTGTAGTTTACATCCCGGATAAGGCCCTTAAAATTCAGTTTGTAATATAAAAGAGTTGTAGTTTAAAACTCAACTTAAGCCCTTTTGCCTTTTTGATTTCTTTTATTTCTTTTTATGTATGTACAGTAGAGACCAAAATAGCAGCAAATGAGTGGGCCTCAATTTGTAAGTATAAAACATTGACGGAAACAAAAAATTCCATTAGAGGGTTTTTCTGTAGTAGCTGTGGTTATCAAATTAACATAGTCATAACCGCACTACAAACGTCGACTTCATTCAATCGTAAAATCAAAATTGTAAACTTTATATAATTTACATATAACTTTTTCATTTATAGTTTAACTTCTATATTGTTAATATCTGTGATAAGCGTTTGGGGCCTCAAAAAATCATTTTCCCAGATTACATAAAAATATTAAATTATATGGTATAATACTACGGTAAAAAATTAAGGTGAATTTGTTCATAATGTGCAAATTCTAAATTTATACTTTCAAATCAATTTCATTACCTTCCGATAAAAACCACTTTTTCCAACATAATTTTTAGTCCTCAAAACAGTCGAAATGGTTTTATTCCAATATAGCCTTCAATAGCTTCTTCTCTTCAGTTTTTATCTCCTCCATCGTGTCACAACATCTCCCCTCCCTTAACCTTTTGAGTTGATTCAATAGATAGAGATCGCACGAAGCCAAATCAGACGAATAAACTGAAACGAAGAATACTTTTTGCTGACAGTTTGGCTCGGCGGAATTCGTACTGCACCATGCAGTTTTTACCACCTCATCTTACTTTCTGATCACAGACAATGGCACGCGATAAACGTTGCGAATACTGGAAAATTCTTACGGTGATTAGTTTTATCAAAACCTCAGGATATAGTGCTTGAAAATCGTCAGGCATGTGTTAAAGAAATGGCTCGACATCTCTCGGGAGTATGTTCAAATAATTTTGGTTTATATTTTGGGTATGAAACGCGTTAATGCTCGATCATCGCGCTAAAGATGCTTTTTTTTTCAAAAAGTGACCGAATTTAAAACCAGAAACGCAATGAGTACCATCAATCAACCACCTTATTTACCAGATTTGTAGCCACGTGATTTTTTCTTGTTCCCCAAACTCAAAATGCCGCTCCGGGTGGAACCCGATTTAAGTCGATCGTAGAGACAAAATGTGCATATGAAAAGTGTTTCGTAGATTGTAAAAATCGTTGAAAGCAATAAAATAAATACGGATGAATAATTAAATATTTTGCGTTTTATTTACAATTTCCTTCATACTTTTCTACTTTTTGGTTACAATGGGTATATAATACTATCAGCAATAGACTAGTCAAAAAAAGACAGTGAAGTAGCAGCCATGTTTGAATATTTGTCTGTTTTATGTTTTCACCACAATTACAAAATGTGAATACCATTGAAACTTTAGAAAAACTGTTAATCCAAATCGTGAAAATTGTTCAACTTTTTATATTTTATTGAAAACGTTGCATAATGTCTGAATATTCATTCCAAAAATATCAGCAAAATATTAGCGTAAATTTTTGTACAGGGTGGGCCAAAAGAAACCAAGGGGTGTAACTTAAAAGTGCCATTGTGTCTCGGGAAGTAGCTCCGTCCTCCTGAAACCACTTACCAGGTCTGTTTTAAAGAGCAGGACGTAAAAAATTTTCTATCATAAACCGATACCGCTCTGCATTTACCGTTACAGCACTTACATCTTCATTCTCGAAGAAGTAAGGCTCAATGACATTTTCAGATGTGATCCCACACCATACTGTACACCTGATGGGGTGTAATTGACGTTGATGAATGGCTCTTGGATTGTGAGAACCCCAGAACCTACAGTTCTGCTTATTAACAAAGCCATTCAAATGAAAATGAGCTTCATCACTCATAATCACGATATGCTCTTCGCGTTAAAATAATTGATCTATGGTTTAAATAATAAAATTCTATTGTTCTGGTTCTCTGTTCAGTTGTGTACCTCTCCATTATAAATTCTTCAAGTGTTGTCTATATAATCTGAAAGAAAAAATAAAAAAAAATTAATAAACGAAAAAGTTATTAAACTGTTACACCCCTTGGTTTCTTTTGGCAGTCACTTCCTGGACACCCTCTAAAATATATTCTGTCCGACTTCGGTTTGGACTATTACTCCACACAATTTTGAATCATTATTACATCACCGTTACTCAAAGTAATCTATGAAGTAGGTCTTTTCCGATTTGAAGATGGTTTATACCAAGCAATGTCATTAGAAAGAACTAGCAAAAGGCTTTCTGTTTTGTTTGACAGATATTATTGCGTAATATTCGACCGAATAGACCACGTTTAGCACGCAGTGAAGAAAATATGGCAACCGTTGCTGAGAGTGTACAAGAAGACCGCGGAGAGTCAATTGGCGCCGTCGGACGGTGGAATTATCGGTTCGTTTTTCCCTTATCGCGCCATTAAAACCAGCTATTTGATGCCAGAATTTGAACCTTGTGATCTCGGCAACATTTGTATTCAACAAGACGGCACCACTTTCCACACAACGAATCAATCACTGGATTTATTGAAATAACAGTTCAGTGAGCAGATAATTTCACGTTTTGGGACGCTCGATTGGCCACGAAGATCGTGCAAATTCGTAACTTGCAAATGGATCACCCTCTGCTACAAGAATTGCATTTATGAAGGGTATTATAGCCTCAGTGCAGCAGTGCAGTTAACATTTTGTTTTTGTTCACAAAAATAAGCAATTCTTTACTATAGCATGTAATTTCGTTAGCTTTTCCATACTGCATACGTTAACTGCTGTATGTGGCCGTCACTGTTCCACTTTATATACATATGTATGAATGTGTTATGCAATTTTGGACAGCTATTTTATTTCTTCGTTATTCTATAATGGTAGAAATTGATTATGGATTTTAGGAATTTCCATCCGTTATGTTGCAAAATGTATTTGTACTTGCTATGTATAATGTGCATTTATGTAGTACTTAATAATAAGTGTACTAAGGTGTACTCTTATAGATATTTGTATAAGTCTACGTACATCTCGTTTGGAGCATAGCAAAAGTAGTTGCTCTTACGATGTAACAACAAAAGCCAAGTTACAAGTAACTACATTTGTATGAATATATGAATATGCGCGCTTAATATAGGGTTGCAGTAGTTTAACAGATTAATTGTGTCCTAAAAGTGAAGAGTATTTTTTTCAATTTCAACCGCAGCTCTTTATTCGTTAGTAGAAATTATATGATATTTAATTACAACTTCATTCTTCGTATGAAGTATGAAGAGGCTTGAGTAAGACTGCAATTATGTGAAATAAATATCTCCAACCTGCGATTACTAAATTATGGAAATCAGCAGAAGAAGCATTCACTATTTCAAGGTAAATTGAATAAATGTGTGAAAAGCTGATGAATGGTGCAAATTCTAGCATTTTTATGGAAGAAACCACTAGATTTACAGTTTTTGTCCTTGAAAACTCTAGGAAGTCACCAAGCTCTTTCTTTTACAATTTAAACTGCTACTAAATCATACTTCTTTGCACATGAAGATAACTTGGGTTTTTTATTTAATATTTTGCATTAAACCATTGAATTCACAACTTTGAAAAAGTGATACTCTGATATAAAATTTCCTGCTTTAGAGAAATGATCATTACATACATATAAGTGATTTATAATTATTTATACGTTCTATGTTGCTCATACGACACGGTGTACTGCATGAATACATTACATTTGATTGATAACTGCAGAACTAAATGCATATTTCATTTAAAAGAAATTTGTATGAACAAAAAATTAACCACGTCTGCTTTGTAGAGTGAAAAAATGTTTTTTAAATATAATTTTTTGAAAGTTGTAGAATTATTTATTTTGAAAACCAAAAATTCATCAAAACTTCTGAAAATAGAGGTTTTCATTGTACCTTTTCTTAGTGCAAAAACTGAAACTTCAGAATGAATTTGCGAAATCAAATTAACTTGGAAAATAACAAACACCTTAATGTAGATGTGCACACTTATGTATGGTATGTATGTCTGTATGTGCCGCTCACATGTAGAAGCTATGAAGAGAAAATTCACCAACAACACGCCAAATTTTAATTGCTAAAATATTATTTTTTAATTTCGTTAACGACTCTCTTTCATTTTATTACAAATTTGCAGATTTGATGAAGATAACAACGGCTCGATTAATATGACGGAGTTTTTGCTGAAATTGCGGGTAAGCTTAAAAAAAAAAAATTATATAATGTACATTTTAAATTTTCTGTAAATATGTACTATACATATGTAAATATATATTAAATATTGCATCAATTTTCCTAATTTTACTCACACCCCACCTCATTATGCGCAGCCACCAATGCCGCAGTCGCGTTTGGATATCATCGACAAGGCATTTAAGAAAATCGACCGCACCGGTGACGATCAAATCACCATTGATGATTTGAAGAACGTCTACTCCGTGAAGGATCATCCCAAATATTTGAGCGGTGAAATGACCGAGAATGAAATACTCACACAATTCCTCAACAACTTCGAGGGGGGACGTGGCAACTGTGATGGTAAAGTGTCGAAGGAGGAATTTATTAATTATTATGCAACAATAAGCGCTTCAATTGATAATGATGCCTACTTCGATTTGGTGATGCGACGCGCTTATAAACTGTAAATACAATCCCATGTAGGAGTAACACAAAAGCGCTGCCATAACAATAAATGCAATGCTTGTTGCAAGCACAACAAAAACAAAAGCGTAACAACTAACAACAGCTGGCATTTTTTAAGCTTATAACAACAACAACCATTAAATAAATAAAAAAAGAAATAACTAAATGGAAATACCAACCATGTGTTGAGTCCTGACCGTGTGTGCGTGCAATCTTTTAATACCGATAAAAAAATTTAGCTAGGAAACCGCTATAATGCCACAAAAAATCCTTATTTACATTTAATATGAATGCATCATTGTATTTCCTATTGTATTTATCTTTTGTTATGAATTGTTACAACATATTAACGTACAATTTTCCAGGCACAAATGCATTTTCTGGCAATTTATATTAAAATAAAAAAATTATGTATTGAAAATTATGTAAACAATCCTGTTATGTTTTGGTATTAATTTGGTTTTTGTGAAAATATGTGTACATATCCAGTGTGTACGTCCAAATTTCTAAAGCATTTATTATTATTTCTTTCAGAGAAGTAAAACTTTTATTTAAAATAAGGAAAATAAAATTAGGAAAATAAGTGAAGAGCTAAACTTTGACTTTATTAGTTCGTCAATTCTATTTATATCCAGCTCAGACGCCAACAGCATCTTCATTTTATTGAACATTCATCAAACATCCCAAAGATAATGCGTCGAATATTATATGCTGTTGTTCAACACAAACTCATTCATTTTGTTGCTATAAGGTACCAACGCTAAGTCTGCGATTAACTGTTTAATGTTTTATGAATTATTCAAAAATAGGCAGTGCTAATGTTCAAGGAAGGGTGAGTAATATGATAGGGGAGTCATTTTGCCTTACTAAAATTGAGTACACTGTTACAGGGTGCATTCCAAAGTAATAAGGTACTCTTGAATCTAGCGCCCCCTGGTGGCGGCATCTACATGTCGAGTGCGTTAGAATATGCTATCTTTGTCGATCATCCAGTGAATTTATGACATTTCATTGATTGGAAGTGAAGTTATTGCGTTTTAAGTGTCAGTATCTTTGTGTTATCGGCGCGAAAATGGGCTTCGAACAAAGAGCCAACATTAAATTTTATTTTAGAATTGGTAAAACTTTTATCGAAACATTTCAATTGATTAAACAAATTTATGACGATGATGGCCTATCCAGTAGCAGAGCACGAGTGGTTTCAATGTTTTTAAAGTGGTCGTGAGGACATAAATGACGATCAACATGCCCATCGAAATTCAAACAAAACTGCGCGTGAATTCATCAAAAATCAGTCGAAATCATCACTGAAATTCAGGGAAATGGAATTGAATATCTACAAAACATCGATTTATGGCATTTTGACCGAACATTTGGGCTTACGAAAGGTGTGAACACGGTTTGTTTCGCACAAATTGACTGACGACGAGAAATTGCTCAAAATCCAACATTTGAAGGACGATTATTTGTCAAAAAATCACATTTTAACCATTAACCACTCCCCGTATTCAACTGACATGGCATAGTGCGACTTCTTCCTCTTCGGAAACATGCGTTTTATGCAGACGTAGAGGCCATTCAAAAGGCTTGCATCGGCATATTGGCGGCCATACCGGCGGTCGGCGGTCCATGCATTTGGACCGTGACAAAAAGCTGTATTGGAACAGAAGGAGGCTGCTTTGAATAAAATAAATTGATTTTGCCGAAAAAAATATTTTTCCCCTTTTTTTAAAGTCCTGTTTAATTTTGAACGCGCCTCGTATATCTGCAATGTTCAGTATATCTTATATTCGATTTTCGCCCATATAAATAGCAAGAAATACTATAATCAAATGAGGAATTACATATGAATTATATGTGTGCAGCGCTCATTGAATAAGTTGAAAATATTGGTAAATTAAGCTTAAATCTCATTGCGTGAAAACATATTGGGGCCACAGATGAGCGACGACAAAAACCGATACGACAGTCTTTGTATAATATGATACGAGACTCTTTGATTCGAGAGAGAGCTGTCAAAACTCGCATTTTTTATAACATTTATCAATGATGCCACTGTTGAAAAATATTAGACTGTTTATTTAATAAATTATACAAAACACTAAATTAAACACTTTGAAAATGCATACATATAAAAACGCTAAAATGCAAAATCATTAATTAATTTACATAAACAGTTATTTTGCCAAAATGTGTTCGCACAGTTTAATGAAATTTCATTTCACACTAATTTCGTCATTTAATTATAGCGGTTTACTTCTGGCATTCCTCTTTTTCTGAAATCAACTCTCAGAAATTCTCTCATCTCCATCGCTGTCAAATAATCAGGGAATGCGTTTCAGAGATAAAGAGAGCCAATGCTAAATTCTCGTATCGTATTATCCATGGTATAGGCGTGCCACAATGAACAGTTACATACATTTCCGCTACGAAATCAACGTAACTTTTTCGACGCGGCCTTTATAGTGGTAGCATCATAATTGGCAAGTTCAAAATGAGTATCTTTTTAATTTTGAAGCCTTTGCAAATTGTAAAAATTGGAGAAAAGCATTAAATAACAAGAAAGAAATGAAACAATATAATGGCATCAAGTAAGGAAGAGCTAAAAATTCATAAATATTTCGCAAAGTCTTCGATTAACGAGGCTTTGTAGGCGTGGCAATAGCCTGATTCCACCCATATCAAATAGTTAACAACTTATCGCTTGAACAGACAAACGGAAAGGAGAACAGGCGAACGAATACCTGTCTATTCAACGTAATTACAACTCATCTGGTCAATTTTACATGATACAAAGAACCGTTAAGTTAATGAAATTATTTTAATCTTTAGCAACATGTTGCACGAGTATAATGAAAGAGAAGTTATTGTGGATATCTGTGAACGAGAAGTGGAGGGAGGGAGGGATGTGCTTACGTTTTTAATACTCAAAGACGGTTTATCTTGATTTCCAAGTTTTTGTACTTAAAACTTAACCAGCTCCTGTTTTCCACTTCCCGCCCTTAGATCGCTTTAAATTATTTTTATTTCATTTTGAAACTCTTGCAACATGTCCTTGCTTTGTTAAGTTAATTTAACTTAATATAAAGTATTCTTATGACTAAAAAGTGTTAAAAAATTGGGTCGATACTTCTTTTAGCCCCCGCATACCTATTATAAAGATTTTCGAACTTTCGGGTGATTCAGAACACATCGGCCAATATGTAAGTTATCTTAATAAAATTGAGAGCGTATTTTGTCTCACGACGGTGCACTTTGTGCTTGGTATGAGAATAGTCGATGAAAAACTCGTCTTAGATCGCATATAACTAATAGGCTTTATATACCTGATGGTACTTCCTTGGCTTCAATCCTTGCAAATGAAATTAGCGGTTATACCTAAGCAATACTCTTTATTGTTGCATAAAGTTCATAAAGTTTTAGCAGCGTCTGAAGTAACTTCCGGAGCTTTGATTCTTGCAAGTTCCAAGAGTATGTAATGTTCGGTTACCCCGAACCCAGCCCTCCCTTATATGTCTTCTTCGCTTTTCAATGGATTTCATCGAATTTTATCGACAGTAGTATATCTCCTCCACTCCGTTGGAAGGACCAGATGGAGAAGGACCTGGCTACGTTCGGAATATCCAATTGGCGCCACGTAGCGTAGAGAACCTCTTGTTAACTCGGCTATAATCGCGTAAACGGTGTCTACGCCAATTAAAAAGAAGAAGGTAAAATATATCTCCCAGCTGGAAGTTCACTATTCTGCTTTAAAAATGCCAATATCGTACTAACGAGAAAGACAGCGCTAATATAGGCTTCGCCGAAATTGTCGAAGCGTTTACATGAGTCAGAAAAATTAATAGCGTCTTTCTATGATTGCCTAAATTCCCTCTTTAGCCAACATATGTACATCAAACATAATTCACCTGAATGTATTATCATCAAAGCAATTATAATTGGAAACTCACGATTCATCAACATCGACAAACTCCACATATGTATCTTATTACCATGCTTTAACTACAGCGGGAATATTCCTCATGCCACAGCTGACAACAATTTCGGGGAAGCGGAAACTATCGCAACCATAACAAACATATTACTAGAAGCACCTATTGCATCACACAGATTCCTATACTAGAGTAAAGTGTTAATGTGGTTCATTAAAAGTCAAGTCGATCAAAATTTGCTACATGTTCGCTGTTGCATATTCATGCGATTCGTGATCAGTAGTTTGTTAATTAGTGAAGTAACTCCATAGGCACATATATAACTATATCTGTACATACATATGTACATACATGCGCAAATATACTCGTATTGGCGTAAACATTGTTAACTTGTTCGAGCATTACGTTTCAACCACAAAAATCGATTATGGCAACGTGATAATTAACGGGAGCAATGTCAAATGGAAGTTATTATTTTGGAGGTAAACATAACATAACATAGATCCAAACCGGGGCAATACTTTCAGGTATTTTATACTTTATCCTGTTAACTAAAAGTATAGATCATAGAACTACAAAGCAAATGGAGGAAGGGATAAATCTTGAGCTATTTCATTCATATTCCGTAATAAAAAAACACTGGATTCCAGTCGTGCAGTTTGTATGACAGCTATATGTTACGGAAGTCCGATATAGACAATGCCGACAGTTGAGCAGCTTCTTGGTCAAAAAATGATGTGTGGAAATTTTCGTTTTCTTCTAGCAGACATCGTGGCAAACTTTATATACCCTGATCATGACATCGCGGGCAGCGCCCTATATTTAGTCGACATAATTGCTCTGCAGAGCCGGTAATTCAAACAACCATCGATCGGATTCGGTCATCATTTTACAGTCAAATGGAGAGCATTATAGAGCCCTAATTAATAGATTTTTCGTGCCTGAATGGATGGTTGATATGAACAACCTTTGGTTCCAAAAAGATTGCAAATACAGCTAATGAAATAAACAATTTGTTGAAGAAAATTTTTTGTGTGCTTTATCTTGCGTAGTGGGCCTGTGGATGGCCTCCAAATCGTTCGATTTAACACCGCTGTACTATGCAGATAAGCCAAAGCTGGAGTATTTTCGTCCTTTCGGACGACAGGAACAAGCCAGCGTAGCCGCTKTCTTTTRATTCGCTGAASCATGTCTATATCGTCGTATAATATATATCAAAAAT